GTTGCACTTTGTTCCTTAGGTTTGGTCCCTTGCATTTGTGCATGTTTGCATGTGTGTTGTTGCTTCGTTTTCATCATGTTTGGCCACTAATTTGGGTGTGGCCGAGGCCCATCCATCTTGGTTTAAGTCCATCTTGCATTGTGTATGCCCTATAGTCCATGTTTTCACATGTTTGATCATTGCATTGCGTATGCCTCATTCATAACATCGCGTATGTTAGTGCATTGTGTATGCACGCCATATAATCCATGTGCATTGAGTATGCCATTGATTAGTTCATAGCATTGTGTATGCCATTTGCGTGCTTGCATGTCATCCTTTGCATGTTTACATCACTTAGTCACATTGCATTTAGGATTGCATACTAGAGTTGCATTTTGTACATGCCATGCCATTCTATTTGTTGCATTGTGTTTGGAGTAGGGTTTAGTCAAAACACGGGAAATGAGGAATGTTTCATACTGCAAGTGATCAAACGTGCCTTGATTCCCGGTCATCGACACTCTTGACCATCCATGATGGAGTTATTGGTTTTAGTTGTTTATATGTGCATTCATGTTCCATTGAGTTGTGCAATTCGACTCCTCGGCCATCATGCATCGAGATGCGTGATTGGTGGTACGAGGATCGAGGACTACACTCCCTAGAGCTTGTGCAATGATGGGAAGAGTGGTCATGCACACATATGTTGAAAATACTTTGCTATGCCCCTTTCTCGCTCTCTATTGCTGCAAACCGGAAACCAACAGCAAAAACTGGTTGGTAGTATCCCTACAACATGGTGGAGTTTCAGCCTTCTGGAGTTTTGTTCAGTGTTCTGGGACCAGTTGCAAATAGAGGCAAATCGGGGCGTCGCAATGGATTTTCTGGCAAGACGACTCGAGCATGCATGCAATCCTTGTCATTCAAGACCGAGTTGAGGCAGTCCATTTCATATGCTTTGCATGCTAGCTTATTTATTTTAGTTAATTTGTTAATTAATTAGGGTTGTGTAATAATTAGCTGTAATTCGTTATTCATTCGGTTGCGTATTATTTATTCGGACCCTTCGAGGAGGGCAATGTTGCAATAAGTGTGCGTGTGTGTGATGCATGTCTTCTAGCCCCACGTCTTTCTCCCTTTTATTTACCAGCTTATGATGGTTAGTTTTAGGGCATGTTTCAATTAGCATCCTTATTCTCGCATGATTGCATCCATTCATTTGTCTTGCATGCACCGGGCTTGGCGCATCATACTAACTGCATTGTATTTCAATTCCAAGTTGAATACGTGTATCAGCTGTTGCATGTCATATGCCATTTTAGAATAGCTAAGCCTATCGTAGTTGCATTTTTGCATGTGTTGCATTAGGCATTTCAGCATAGTTAGGATTCATGCATGATTTCTAATTAGCTTCTTTCTTTGGCTTGGAGTACTCGGTAAGTATATATGCTTTAGCATCCTTGCATGCGTGTGAGTGACTGCCATGATAGCATGCTTACCATGAGGCTATTTGCTTATGTGATATAACTGCTTGAATGCCTGTGGGTGAATGTTAGGTTATTTGAATTGGAACAATTCACCAATTGAGAGTTTTAAGCCCACTTGAGAGTGACAAAATCATGTTTTCTTAAGCCCACTTGAGGGTGGCAAATCCATGTCTTAGCCTACTTGCGAGTAGCACCATCAAACCATCTTTCAAATAAACAAACATGAAATGTTTTGTTCCAACTCAAATGATCCAGTCTATACTTGTATGTTGTGTGCATCACATAGTAATTCTAGGCTAATAACCGGAATAAGAGCACATAATGTTTTCAAAACTCGATATCGTGGTTAATAGAGGCCGATCTTTGATTGGGCGAGCGGGGGTGCTCACGAAGTGACCTTCTCCAATCGTACCCAAGTTCCCGAGCCGAGACAACTTTGGTGATGATGGACACGTGGCCTTAGGCACGAGTCAGGGTTTCCTAAATTCCCCCAAAATAAAATATTTAGGTGGTGACTCTGTATCTGGCAAAGCAGTCCATGTTTGGTACTTCTTTCTAAAAATCAGTTTTTCAAAACGATTTGCCGGATTTGGACACTTTGATGATTCATCGGTCTTGCATTGCACTATGCGAGATTAGATACAGGACCGTGACATTGAGTCTGAACTGTAGTAAGCCCAAATGAACAAAACGGGATTCCCTCCCGGGACGTTCGGGGACGTCTACAGGTTACAAGCAGAATGGAAAACAACGAGAAGTTAGAATGAATAAAGGAGGCTTGAAGTAAATTACAGAGAAAGAAATGAGAGAAATTAAACAGAAACAACTAAACAATTATGTCATCAACCAACTTGGCTCTGATACCATTACGGAGAGAATGAGGGCAGAAGGAAGATATGAACAATAATAAAATTAAACAGAAAGCAATGAATTGTAAAATAATTAACAAAAAATCGTAAACTAGTAAAATTAACAAAATAATAAAATTAACAGTGAAATTAATAACAAAATTAAAACAATACCAACAACAATAATCAAAGGATAGATAACTGAAATATAATAATTAATTGACAGACATATTACTTACAATCGTAAATTGTTTACTAGAAATAAATTGAAAGCCTAACTTCAAAATACATAGCCTCAAAATACAATGTGAATACAATTTTTTGAGAGTAAAAAGCAAGAGAGTGAAAAGCAGGTAGATTCTTAATGCTTTTCCAATTTTTTCCTCCCTTTTTTCCCGGACTAGAGAAGCTCTTTTATAGGCCTAGCAGATAACTGTGATGCTTGTGACTTTATGAGCTAGAAGGTAGGAGGCACACTGTGAGGCTTGTGACTTCAAAAACTGGAAAGTAAGAGGCACATGGTTGCTGTGGACAGTTTTAGTGATTGATGGAAAGTTGTCTATTTTTTACTCTCTTTTTCTTTTTTTTTTCGTGGCTGCACAGTTGACTGATGGAGAATCAATAACTCGTGACTACATAGTTGACTACTATTTATATATATTTATATATCATTTAATATATAAAGAATATGTTTATTATATAATTTAAATAAAGAAAAACGAGCAGAGTTTGGCGAGCCGAGCTTTTGCGAGCTCGAGCTCGGCTTGTTTGCTAATTGAGCCTAATAAACGAGATGAGCCGAGCCCTTAATGTGCAGAGCCGAGCCGAGCCGAGTTTGTTCATGAACAGCTCCGTTCATTTGCAGTCCTACTTATATGTGTGAAATTATGATAACATATTCAAACCTTATACTTTCTTTTTCCTTTCTCTATCCTCTTTCATACACAATTTATAATTTATAACATTAATTCAATTAAATCACAATTAATCATATTTTTTTAATTATTTATTGTAACTCTTTACTTTTTAATCTAATTTTAATTTAGTTATATTTTAGATCAAATTTTAAATATTATTTATTTTATTTTATATTTTAAAACGCATCATTAATTAAATTTATCTTTTAGATAAATTGTTAATTATATTTTAATTTAATTTAATTTTGATAAACATCTTAATCTAATTTTGAGTTTGGAGAAGATGAGGTTAAAATTGTCTTTCAATTGTGTTAATTTTATCTTATTAAAAAAAAAAATCAAATCCACTCCTTAAAATGGTGTGTGTGATATTTAATTATTTATTTATTTTTAGACCGGGAAGAAAATTTTCATTACAAAACTAATAAACAAAATGGATTAATCTGGTATAGTGGTAACAAAAGATCTCATAAAGAGATACCGAACTTTCATAAGAGGAAGAATCCTGGTCTCCATAGAGGAGGAGAAAAAACCCTGACAAAGAAAGAACACAACCTCCAAACAGAGAGGATTATTATAACAAATAATTTAAAAGTAAAAAAGAAAATTGAAAACAACTAGATCCAAGTCGCAAAACCCATCCCAAGCTCCATTAAAAAAAACAAAAATTTACTACACTTTAATGAATTTTTTTTAAAAAAAATTTGTACAAATTATATACTTTTTAAGTCTACCAATATTAAGTAGATCCAATAAGTAATTTTTTTTTATTTTATAAAAATCACTAAAACTATAAAAATACAAATTAAAAATTCAAGAAACTATTTTTAAAAATTCACCAAACATAAATTTTCTTTCCTTTTTCTTTTTTTTATTGATGTTAATTCTGTTAGGAAAAAAAAAAAATAAATAAATAATCTGTTAGGCAAAACTCAGTTCATAAATTCTCAAATCAAATATGGCAATAAACGAATATCTTCCAAAAGATTTCAGTCTTCCAATCTATAACTAGGGTATAATTCATTAATTAGACTTTGTATTTGATTTTCATTATTATGATTATAATTCATTAGGATTCATTATAATATCATGCATGAATCAAATTTATAAATAAAACAAAAATTTGCGTACTACAGCTGTTCCCTCAAATCAAATATGGCAATGAAGAATATCTTCCAAAAGATTTGAGTCTTCCAATCTATAACTAGGGTATTGCTCTCTCTCTAGATTGTATCATCTAATTCTCTTTCACTCTACCTGTGTCTGTTGGTTGATTTGCAAGTGCTTCGTTTATCACGATGGAGGATGATAAAAAGGGAAAGAAACCCATGAAGCGAATTGAGAACAAGAAAGCTCTGAGAGTTACTTACATGAGGAGAAAGGACTGTGTTATCAAGAAGACAATGGAGCTCTCGATTCTCTGCGGTATCAATGTCTTCACACTCTGTTTCGGCCCCAATGGAGAGGTCGACACGTGGCCCCAAAACCCAAACGAAGTGAAGGCTCTGATCAGGATGTACAAAGATTCTGCCAAGAAAAGCCCGGTTAGTAAAACTTGTGAATCTTCTTTTTCTGATTGTTGTTTGGGTGCTGAGAAAGTTGCCAAGAAAGTTTTGGTGGGGAATGAGGATGGTCATGGTTGGCTTGATGGGTTATCAGCAGAGTCGGTGATGAGTTTCTTGGGAAAGTTGGATTCAAAATTGGAGGTTTTGAAAGCAAGAATTGAGTTCTTGAAGATGGTGAATGAGCAGAAAAACAGCGTAGTGGTAATGGGGAAAGAAACAGAGAATTCAACTGAATTTTACCAACCACAACCACAACCACAACAACAAGATACTCGACTGAATTTTGAGATGGAGAACCTTTCAATGTTGCTTGACCTTTGTTACCAGTACCAATCTGGCATTTTCTGATCTGTTGAGAGAATTCATACGCTTTTGTTGTTTTAGATTTATGGGTAAGCTTTATAATTATACTAGGAATTTAGGAAAGTATTGGAGAATATCATCGTATTCATACCCAAATTTTACTTGAACTTTATATTTTTGTCATTAGCTATGTAACTTTTTTCAGGAATTTCCCCAAAAACAGTTGGTGAATGTATAGAGGTCTGTCTCAGTTTTGTCTAGCTAGGGGTCTAGCATTCTTTAAATATGATAAATATGATGTATACACATTTTATTTATTTGGTGATCAACATCTGTTTGTGTCACTTTCTACATTGCCTCATATTATATGCATAACTGCTTTAGTGCAATGTTTTTTCCTACGGTATTAAGTTTTTTATTACATTGAAACTTACTGTTATTGTATGTCACTCTCATATTTAAAATTAATTAATAGATATATAGATGTTCCTTGGTAGTTAACAAAGTCATTTTTGTTTTTCCTTCAACTTTGTGTTAGACAAAGAATTGAGATCCTTTGTGAACCTACGATCGGAACTGTTACTTTAGTAAAGTCCTCCAAGCACCCGCACATTTTAAATACTTTAAGACGAATCAATTTCTTTATTAGGATATTACAAAAATATCAATACACATTTAAAATTCTGATATAAATCAGTATCTAACATCCATCACTTATTAACTATGGTGTACTTTAATAACAAAATTCTAAATCAAATTTATGAAATAGATTACCTATAATAATTATGACTACACAAGTCATTCACACTCATAATTTTGAATACTTCTTGTTTGCTTCTCTCCTCCACTTTTGTGGTTATATATAAAGGGCATTGATTTAGACCCCCTTAAAACTCCCACCCCACCACCCCCTACACACACGTGGGGGTTGGGGATTGGGAGAGAAGAAAAAAAAAAAGAAAAAGAAAAAGAAAAATGGACCAATCAAAAGCAAAGAGGGTCAAAGGGGATGGGTGGAAAGGGGGTCTTAAATATTTTTGTAAAGTTATATCACCATATAAATTATTGATTTGATATTTTCCCTAAAGACGACAAGAAAATTTGGAAATCTAATCCAACAGCCAGGTGAAAGTAGACATTCATTCAAATGGGGACAGAAGCGCGTGATATTTTTATATTTTTCAAATACGAAATGGTTTCTCGATTTTGTATTGTTCAAAAATTTTATGAGATTATTTATAAAAAAAATTGTGTTAATTCATGTATTTTTAATTTTGTATTGTTTCAAATTTTTAAGATCATTTACTCAAGTTTATATTATTTATGTATTTTTATCAGATTATTTACATATTTATAATATAATCTATTATTTTAATATTAGTGACCTGCAAATTGACTTGCTGAATAGGTTAATAAGTATAACTACAACCACAAAATTGTATAATCAAACGAAAAAAAAAAATGCATCCAAAAAAAAAAAAAAAAAAAAAACCTTGCATATGGTATGCAAGGGCATACCATTGAATTGCCCTACAAAATCATGTAATTTTCACAAAATTACGTAAATAACATCATAAAAATGTGTAAATAATATAAATTCAAGTAAGTGGTCTCAAAAAAATTAGAACGACACAAAATCACGTAAGTTTTTACAAACTCATATAAGTGATCTCACAAAAATGTGTAAGTACACACAAAATTTCTGTAAGTAATCTCATAAATTTTCGAACAACACAAAATCTCGTAAATTTTCATGAAATCACGCAAAATGTGTAAGTAACACAAACTCTCGCAAGTGATGCAAAATAATTTGGAACAACACAAAATCACGTAATTGATCTCACAAAAATGCGCAAGTTAATGTAAATTCCCCGTAAGTGAGCTTGTAAAATTATTGTGGAACACAAAATTATTGAAGTTTTCACGAAATCACGTACGTAATCTCACAAACATGCACAAGTAACACAAACTCGAGTAAGTGATCCTAAAAAGTTTGGAAAAATACAAAATCACATTTCATTTCGTCATTTTTCTTTTCTCTTCTTTTCTTAATCCATATCAGTTTCTCATTTTCTCTCATGTGAGCTTGGGGGAATTCTGTTTACATTAAAAAAATCATTAAGTACTCCCAATTTCTAAGTACACCCTATTTTATTATTTAAAATTTTATTTTACTCTCATTACACCTTATTATTTTTTTCCAAATTACCCTCAAGGTAAACCCAAATAATAAATAATAAACAAACTAAAAAAACTAAATTATTTCAAAAAAATTCAATACAGAAAATAATTCTCAAATACAGAAAAAAAAAACCAAACTTATAAACACATAAGCATTATAAATACATGAAAAATCAAACTTTTACATAAGCATTATAAAACTTTTCAATACAGAAAAAAAAAATTTACATTATAAATTATCCACAAGAATGCTCGTGGAAAAGTAAAAACCAAACTTATAAGCATATAAGCATCAGGCACTAACAAGAAAGAGTAGTTCTCAAATAATGTACTATTTAAATGATAAAATAAGAACAACTCCAATAATATGTTATTGTTAATCTAACTACTGGACCCTTTAATTTTTGTCAAAAAAAACGCTATAGAAAGTAATTGATGGTGCTCTACAAAAATTGTAAAACCTCTTTATATGAATATTTACCTCGTTTTTGATGGGTTACTTCAAAAAATTATTTTGATTATTCTTATCAACCATTATTTGATTTTGTTCAAACTTTCTTCTAGGGTTTAGGGTTTCAAAATAATAAAAAATAATGATATTAATGATGATGATGAGTTTTAGTAGGGTGGATTGGAGTTTTGGAGGAAGGATGAAGAGGAAGAAGAAGAAATGACTTTGATCTTTTGAGAAAGAAGATACAGAGATTTGAATAGGAATAACTGATTAGGGTATATCATGAGAAAAAAATATATTTTATTTTAAGGTTTGATATCTGTTGTCCTTATTAGTAAATTCATATTATGATATAACATAAATTAAAATTTGTGAATTTAAATTGAGCGTATTGATACATATTTTGAGTTTAAATAGAATCTCCCGTGAGCTTGTACAAATAGAGTGTCTATTCAAAATCACTATCAACAATTTTAAAAGGATTCCAAATTAAACAAGGCCGATAAAGAATACTATGCATTAGCAATAATTAAAAACAAGCTAAAAACATCACAGAAAAATTGACTCACTTAGACTTACTTTGCTATTCATTCATTGGTTTTTAAACCAATTATCGTAGCTGCTAGGCTCATCACATATCTTCTCAGCACATTGGTGTGAGTTGATGGCAACTGAATATTACCGTATAATGCATAATTAATCGACATGCCTATTATCAAATATCTTTTTGGAGTTTTTTGGACCATCTTATTTCAAATATTTTTTTTGTGTACCTTGAAAGAAAAGATTACAAAAGAAGTAAAAAATTTCCTTAATGAAGCACAGTGGCCTCGCTCGAATCATCTGCAATGATTCAAAGGTAAATTCTATGGACTCGTTTGGAAAGTGGGTTAGTAGCCACTTCCTAACTTTTATCCAATTTTGGATCACATTATCTCTCACATTTTTTACACGTTTTTTAAAACAAGTCAAAAAAATCAACTTTTAACTATTTTCTCAAAACAACCCTATGTCATGTACTTTGCCTTTGCATTTTGTACTTGTAATTGCAATTAACTCGATTTTAACTTTAAATGTTGAGTTTTATTTCTATTTAGTCCAATTGATAATACTAGTTAGATTTTTTTGACAGAAATGGCACCCACAAGAGCATATTTTCATAGGAAAAATCGTAAATTCAAACAGTACCCAGAACCGTAGATCATCTACATAACAGTTTCAAATCAAGCACCAAGACAACTACACAAGTTCAAATTATGCAATTTTCTGATGAAACAAAACAAACGCAAAACCATAAATTTAACAGAAAGCAAAAAACAAAAAGGAAAAAAAAAAAGAAAAAAAAGAAAAGAAAAGGAACTTGCAATGCAAGTGAGCTTCCTACTTAATAATAGCAATCAGGATAGCTTACTAAGAGCATCTCCATTGGCAAATGCTATAATAGCATTGCCATTGTCAAATTATGGCAATGAATAATAGAAAATGGTAGAATTATAGTAATGGTGTTCCAATGGAAGGCTGTTATTTTTGCCATTTTGGCACAGAAATTGGTGTGTGTGGGACGTCCAGTCGGACATCCCATACACACTAGTTTCTAGCTTCTGTTCTGCAAAAATGGTGGACGAGAGGGAGGGAGGGATGCTTTGCTGGGGGAGAGGGAGGCTTTTCTTGTGTACATTGGAGCATGGTTTCCATGAATTGCTGTCAAATTATGGCAATAGTAGCTCCAATGGCTTGTCATTGGAGATGCTCTAATAGAAGTAAGGTATTACCTATTTAGCAATCGAGAAGTAACCAAGCAAAGAGTTCAACCAACCAAGCTAAGGGGGTAGTGATCAAGAAGGGAAGAGAATGGCCCCTAGCGAGCTTTTGGTGAATCTTGTATACCAAGCAAGTTTCCACTAGATACAGTCTCACATCCGACACCTATACCCGAGTCCATGTAACATAGGTATTGGCAATTACTTGGAGTTAGGGCAGAAGAGGGTTGGGATAACATGAAAGGCAATAGTAAGAGAACAAATATGAACATTTCTATTGCATACTTTATTATCCTTGTACTGGGTAGCTGAAAAATCATCAAAGAACTCTTGAGTCTCCACCATTAGCAGTTGATTCTCTGCATAAGAACCATAAGACCACAAAAATGTGTTAGTGAACAAGTAACATAACAATAGGACAGAAGCTCACAAGGTAGATTGAATTATGGAACTTGTTAGATCGCCAATTGTGCCCAAAAAAATGGGCCCTATAATGTGTAGCTATCTAACAAACCCCCTCACATAAGAAACATAAAAATAGAACAAACACGTACTATGAGGCTTGAACCTATGACTTCTTAGAACCAGAGCTCTCTGATATCATGTTAAATATGCATGTAGAGAACTCAAGAACAAAATCCACCCATTCC